GTCCCAGGGGTTAAGATCGCGCAAGGCATGATGGGAACCAACATGACGCAGCAAGATCGTACACATGAAAACGAGGTTGCTATGACAGTCCTCGCATTGATATCTAGTTCGTAAGTGACTGCGTCATCGCACGCACCACTCATTACAATATCGCCCATTGGCTAAACTCTCCAGTTGCAATTACTTCCGGTTCCATTGGTTCCAATACTATATACCTTGAGCAAAACGCAAGGTTAAGTTGAAACGACGTCATACTTACGAATCAGATAGGGCTTACGTCTGAACTAGTCTGAACTAGTCTGAACTAGTCTGAGTATCAGCCGTTGCGTTGTCCAACAGATTCCTCTCCGTAACCAAAGTCTGGTATGTGAGAAATGCAACCTCGCGCGCCAGCCAATCGGAGTCGACTTTAGAAATTGTGATGATCATTTCGATCAGAAATGTGGACTGAGCTGTTGACTGGTCAGTTTGGCAACCATTATTTCGTAATACACACAACAACGAGTTACCGAAGACCCGATAGAAGCTGCCCTCTGATTGCTCAGAATCTCGAGGTCAAGACGCAGTCTTGTTTTGTATAATTAATCGCCAAATCTGCTCGCATATCATGGACCCTTGATATGCATGGAGATATTCTGCACACTACGTCTGAACATGGGACCCAATCAAGTCAGAAGTTAATTGCCGTCTTCCAGATTTCAAAGTCAAAAAGGTCAGGGTTTTTTTTACCCTACGTTAGATTTTAAAGTGTGCAAGGAATTTAATTTAAACAATGCCTTATAACTTATAACAGGGTCATATAAAGACTCGAGAAAGTTCAAACTATTTTAAATTTTCGAGCACTCTCTTTTTATTTCCTATTCTGTAAGGGCCTGGGAAATCATTTAAGGAAACGCTATAAATTGAGGCTTATGTTATCGGATAGGTAACATCCGACGTCCAAATTAAAACCAACGATTCGCTTCCACTGTTAATATTCAAGTAAAATACCTTCTCTATTTAGTTTGATGTAGTTTTCTGATATGAAAGAACGATAGGACTCGGGAAGGCATCTATCCGACTCGCATTTATATCAATTTCCAGTCCGATAGCAACCCTGATCACGGTCCAATCCATTCTTTACTTGCGGAATATTTTGAACTAATCTCGTGTGAAGGTCAAGGCTGACGTAAGTTTCGATTTCTGAACTCCATCTTTGAGCCCCCCCCCCCGGCGCCTCCCCCGAGTACTGACCAGTGCATGAGAGTTGGGTATTCGCAGCGCCAGAGTCTCTTAACATTTTCCGAAGATAGATTTTTTTTTCTGTTCTGATGTTTCTAACAATGGTTACATATGGGTCATGTGACAGAAGGTAAACTCTACCAACCCACAATAGTTTACCCTCTGTCTTTTTTCAAACAACTTAAATCAGAATATGCTCGAATTTGTCTTGTGATTGCTTGCGTTTGTTTGCGCCAAGGGAAGGTGCCATTTATGAGTACCGACAGATAATCCGACGCGGATAAGTAGCTAATCCCTGATTATATGGATCATTTTATCCATGAGTTTTATCAGATAATAAAGGGTGGTTTTTGTCCCAGTTTGCTTGTTATCTTCATGTTTAATGTATTCCTGACATATGGAAGATTTCTTATCGGCAGATAAGATTAGTTTGCCCGAGAGGTGGCGCCTGTGGGATATGAATAATCTGCTATTGAGTTGCAATGTTAGATGAAGTGATGTTTGTCAATCTAAGGTCACGTGACTTGAAAACCTGCAGGAAGAGGGACGATTGCAATGTGCTTGGTCACGTGACCCATTGAATGTGTTTGCACACCATGTTTCTATGTTTCTATACATTGTTATTTTGAACTTCATTTTGCAACTATTTTTATCTTTACAGTTTAAAGCTCCAATCGTTTTTTTTGCAGAAACATAATTAAAGGGAATATACATCATTTGCAAACATCGAAAAATAAAACTACCAAGTGTTTGCGAAATACCTTAATAGGATGTTGGTAAATGACAGTCTAAAGCATCCTGTAAAATTATGGCACCTGGTATACTGTCATTTTCAAGAAAAGTGGTATTTTTGTATCAATTTCCAACGCTGATCGGCCGATCAGCGTTGGAAACAACTGGCTTTTTTTTCAAATACTGGCCCCAATTGACCATTGCACTTGTTTGCAATCGATTACAAACCTATGAACGGGTACGAGCCAGCTAGACTGGTTCCCTGACCTTACAATTCCCTAATGTATGTTAACTGCTCTGTTTCTTCTTTTATGGAGTCAGGGAACCAGACTACAGGAAAATGATCGTTTTTCTTGGTTTTTATAGCATTTTCGAACCCAAAACCTCCAAAAAGTCAGTGTAACTATATTTGCTTTATATTTCCAACCCCCCAATTCCATCCATTTCTGAAAATTACAGCAAAAGCAAATGATGTATATTCCCTTTAAATGTACTAAAGATTTCTTTAGTTGCAGGATTTTTCTATAAATTAAAAGTCATATTTTAACGACTTTTATACATTTTTCTTTGCCTATTGCCTGTGGTTTTCCATATCTTTAAGGCCGAAAACCCCCTCGTATTATGCAATTAATCTATAAACAAATTTTAATTTTTGTTTTACTTTGATTGGTTGGCGACTACAAACCAGCTGGCAAACATACTGATACAACAAGACACGCAACCATGCTGAGACCACCGGCATTGCCAGCTGAATTATTAAAAAAGAAGAAATGATATAATATTGTCTCCCGCACGGAAACACGGTGTAGGACAAGCCAAGCAGCGCCGGTGCGCCGCGGCTTACCTCCCGTGGTGAGGTGGATGGCTGCCCGGTACACTGATCAATAGTTCCCGTCTCGTACGGGACAAACTCTCGCCATCAGAACAAACAAAAGCCTGACCAGATGTGGAATATTAATCATGAATTTTATCAAAGGCAGACGCGTTTCGGTCTCTCATTTCTGATGGACCTGCTCATAATTTGTATTGTAATATTATGAATGGATGAGTGGTACTTTGTTTGGTCTGTACTTGACAAAATGTAGCCCATATATATCACATGGTGTGTGTAAATGGGATGAAATTAATAAGACATGCTGTTTTGGTACATACTTAAAAAACGAATTGTTCAAGGTTAAATAAGTGTTTTAATATGTTAAAGTCATGGCCTTTAATTTTAGCCTTTAGTAGGATTCAGAGCTTGGTATTTCGAGAGCCGCGTTTGTTACAATGATGAAGATGCATTTGGTCCGGAAATCTTCATTATACTTCACTGATTAATAGCTGTGGTACTGGAAAAGCGATACAAATGATACATTATATCGATTCACCTGTTATCCAATTAGATGCAGCGAAAATGTGAAACATTCATACTCTCACAGCTCTGATAATCTGATTATGTTTGTGTTTTATACCACATAAGTTTAATTCAGTTAGCCGTATGTTTGAAATCCCAGGCATAATGTAACGATTTATCCTGGATGCTCGTGTCTTTATTTTGCTACAATAGCCCGCTGTGTGGTGAAGAAATACAAATCATTTAAGTGATACAAATGGTAGAGGTTATCGCATGTTAAGTAAGACAGATAACCTTTACCATGCGTGTACACACACTGATACCGATTGATATATAGTTAGTTTCCGATGTGGTATCTTTCAATTATAAAACACATGCGAGCAAAATTAATGACAAAATCTGGTGATGCGAGTCGGAAAAGTACAAATTTGCCATCGCTAAATCGTTCATTTAGACAAAACGAAACGGTATTATTCCAGATGAAGTTTTAGCCCTCTGTTCCCTGATTGGTGCAAATTGTAACAAAGATAAAGTTTCCCATTGAGTACTTTTGAGTTTCCTTCAAAATGTGATTTGCAAACACAAGTCATGCATTCTAGTCTGGGGGTGTTTGATTTTTAACAAGCTTATTTTTTAATCTTGATTCAGTTTTTTAAATTAAGGACTGAATTCTGCCAACAAACTCAATATTCGGATTTAAATAAAAACAAACTTTGAAATAAATGCCTGCTGTGTTTGAAAAAGCTGTAATCTTTTAGACAATAATTATAATTTATATAACGATAATTATACTTTCTGATATTTCAATTTTAGTCAACCCTGATGAATATTCATAAGTCTTCTTTTAGTGATGGTGGCCCCTAACTACGAATACAATGAATCACCGTCTGTCTCGCCGGCCGATGGCGGCGTCACTGTCATTTCTGGTGACTTGACACGAACAATGAAGAGACTCGTCTAGGTATCCGGCCGGCTACGCTAATCGGCCTAATCGTTGAACCAACAATGCCTTTGATATGTGTACATTGTGCTCGTGCGTAGACCAGAGATTTGGCCTTTCACGAAACGAAGGTTACAGTTCGGTCGCACGAAGGGTTTATTTCTTTGACTGTTTGAGTTTTAAAAAAATAACTGAAAAATAATCTGTTCAGTGGTATAAACATGTAATAACAAGGACGATGTAAAAACAACTTTTAAAGATTCCCTTTTGGTATTTGTTTATGTTATTTGTTTTTCTTCTTTTTTATGATGGTCGTATAAATTACTGAGCACTGTGTTAAGTTCAAGTGTCATAATATTGTTCATTTGCTAATTCGTTCATGAGTAATATAAATGGTTTTCAAGATTTGCTTTATGGTTTCCTGTTCAGTTGCCTTTGGTGAATGCCACGTTTAATACGTTGCATCCCATTAATTGAATTTGTCTGGTATGGGTCCGTAAAGAACAACGTGTTTTAATCATCACAGCGTCCCCTTTATACGTGTACACGTACATGTACATGTACTGTGACAGGAACTCCATCGATACGCACAGCTAAATCCGCAATTTCGTGAACGTGGTCGTTCCGCATGCATCGGCGCCGCGGCGGCGCCATGCAGTATTCAGCGCTGATAATTACGTTCCGAACCGAACAACCCGCCCCGATAGCCCCGCCCACCTCATTTCGTAGTCCACTCAAATTGCTGGATACACAACTCACGGTCGTTTGATAACAAATGAGCCCCGCTCATACGGGGATCACTGCATTTACAGTTCATAGATCCGGGCCTTGATGTACACAACGTGCAGTCATTGTACAGTACATGTGCAGTCATTGGATTCACTACAAAACTGCACTTCGCTAAAAGCGGTACCCTAACCACTCAAAACACTATCGCTGACGATGTTGCTGTTGTGAAGGGGCTATCATTTCTTACTTGAAATATGAAGAAGTTCTGGTTTTATGGAACAGTTTATCAACTGCATTCAGTAAGGATTTTTGGAGTCACTTGTCAAACTGGAAGGCACATGGTGCATGCGGCACTAGCTTAGCCCGGGCGCTAGTGGCGTTGTTACGCACAACCACAGGGACCGGTGAAGTCTGTAACTGTATCGTGGATTTGTTTACCTAGCTAAAGACTTGCAACATGGATCGGGAAGTGAATGGACTACGGGCGGTCTATACTCTGTGTGTCTACACCTGTCTCGTGCTTTGTAGTTGTACTTTTCGTCTAGTATGTGGTAAGTTTGAAAATAATGTATCACTGACGGTTTACCCATTTATTCATTTTCCACTTTAGGCAACATTTAGCGAAGTATACGGACTTCTTGGTTCTTCCAGCGTATCAACCTAAAATTCTGATCAGCGCGCGCGGTCCAACTTGCAGGCCAATCATATTGCGTGAAGCGTGAATACATTTACATAATTTGTTCACGATGAAAAGATGAATTTGGAAGTTTAAAGTCGTAAAATTTAATGTGGACGGCCATTTATGTTTAATCAGTAACCACCATTAACACCTTTGTTTCGTTGATGTTTTTCTATTGCAAAGCTTGTGTGTTCATCAAATTTCATGGCATTTTTATTTTGTTTTACATGACATGAGGTTATTGAAAATCAAGAAATAATATCACAAGGAAACCACACTATATTTATACAGAGGAATCCAAATTGTCCCTTAACTACAGTATTACGCCGTAAATTGTCGGGTAGATTTGTCATTTATTTAATTGTTTTGATTGTTATCCATCCTCAGTTACTTTCAAATATTATGTGTGTATCACTATCATGAATTATTATTTTGGAAGTAATTAATTATGCCAAATTTGATTTTTCAAATTTGATTACCAGTGATTATACCTTTGGTAACTTTCAGTTCGGCCATTTTTGCTCAAACCATGTACCAGCATGACCAGTCTTTTCAAGGACAAACTGATATCTCATTTCTACGTGCTTCCATAATGTTTGACAATCTCGCGACCCCCGGGTCAGACCCCCTCCTGTCTAGAGTTCATAATATTTACTATTCCAATGACCATTTCTGACAGTTAGAATGGATAGATTTCAAGCATCCAGGCTGGAATTTCTGGAAGAGAGATCTACATGTAGATGCGCATCTTAGCACTTTGTGCTTCCATGGTCAGTGACTATGGTGACAGTGTCGAGGAAGGAAATAATGTATGAAATTCAAACTTTGTTTATGGAAGTTAACATTCTTAAAGTTTAATTTTGTACGGATGAATCGAGCATTTGTTGAGTATGTTTGCGGTTTTTTTAACCAAATTTCCTACCGCTGAAAATGTTACGCTTCTTATAAGTTATCTCTGGTGAGTGGTGACCTTGTGGTTGTAATAAAAAGTACTATAGTTAAACTGATACTGTTTTAAAATGGACATTCATCTGAAATATTTTAGCATTATTAAGACTACATCATTTTGAAGGTTTATTTAGGTACGAGTTTGGTGATTGGTATTCCTGTTGTAATGCAATGCAAGATCGATTCGGACAAAGATGGGAGAAGGACCTGCTTAAGATGTGTCAGTTTTGCTCAGTGAGGGGATGAAGTCATGCGGAATAAACTCATTTACGGTGTTGTCTGAGAACACGAAGAACACAGATCGTCACCAGTTAACCAGTGCGGTGCAGCGAGGGAATGGTTTGGGGATCAACCGTACACAACTAGCTCCACCCCAGCGACCGAAACCAGCAAGTGACCCCGTGAATTTGGCTCTGGCTGACCCATAGGACCCCACAGTGCCGTCTCGCTCCGGCAGTAAAGTGGGCAGCACAATACATCATCTGCTGAACCCTGACGGTGATAATACACCAGCCCCTCCGTACAGCTCAAACTGGATAATAGCCCAGAGTACACAATTCTTAGCGAATTAATCGACTTTTTTCCAGCCAAACCACTGGCGCTAATGCCTGGCGGGCCTGAGCTCAAGAATAGCCTTAACGCATTGATTCCTCCCTCCTTACCGTTGTTGGTTTTGCTTTGAGATTTGCTGAGAGGGCAGCGTGTTGCTCGGTCTTGTTTGGGACATCTTTAAGCCTTTTCTTTGGGGGTTTGCTATCACAATGTTGATGATGAGTCTCGAGAGCCTGTGATAGACAGAATTTAGAATTTGAGGATGATGTTTAGCGTATTTGATTAACGTTTTTTCAGTTTGGCTACAGAGTTAGTGTTTGTCAAGTCAGTGAAGTCTCGATGGACCGGCTACTTCTGCTTCATTTTGCTCTTGTCATTACAAATGGAATTTGTAATCCCAACGTCATGATTGTTCAAGTTGGAATTGTGAAATTACTTTGTCTTTTGAAGTAGTTGTTACTAAAACAGTTGGGAGTATAACGTTTGTGTGCCACACTTTCAGTTTGAAACGCGAGTAATAATTGAAACGATGATAGTTTTAGACATGGCCGCGCGCCTGAGTACATTGCACAAGGTTGTTGAGTACCACACGCCACATATGGGTGTCAATTTTAGGATTGACCGCTCGGCCGCAAATGGGCCTCTTGACGGATGCCTAGCACCCTCTAAAACAGCTACATACTAAATATTTAGGCTCTTGGCTTGCTTGCTTTGCGCGTGTATACTTAAACCAATGATCTTTGGAACCTTTTTATCAATGACTCTTTATTATATGAACTGCATTTTACGGGATCTACGGTGGAGGTTTTTGATGAAGTCGGAGCTGTCGCACGAGTCCATGTTTGTGTTTGTATAATTCTCCATCTCTTTATGGTTACAATATAACAAAATTATGACAATATTTGTTGACGGGATGACTTGGAGTGGCTTGTGAATGCGTTTTAAATGGTTGGAACTTTTGATGATGGTGGAGTGTTTCTGGTCGTGAATGCAAAGTCGTGCCTTGGGTATGCCTACTGCGAGCTTAAATGAACTCAAGGTTGTCCGTGGATTGTAAATGCAGAAAGCAGACCAACCTGTCGTATATCTATCAGTCTGTGAACAGACATTTATTATAGTCGGAGGTCGTAAATGGCAAATCAAAATTAACTTATTTAAAGCTCTCCTTGACTTCTTGGAGTCCATTCTGAATGGTGCAAATCCCTGCTCTAGGTCGAGTTGTGGGTTTAGCTTGTTGATGTTGTAAAACGCCCGATGTCCACAGTCTTATCTTGAAGTTCACTGTCTGAATTCAAAATGATTTTGCCATGTTTTTGTTTGATATGGTTTTTCGTGTAAACGTTATCTTCAGTATGACCGTCCGGGTAGAAACCCCCAGCTGAAATGAGCAAAAGGTTTTTGAGTTTCGAACAATTGTCAACATAATTTAATTATAGCGACATCTGGTCCTGCTGATCTTGTTCTTCTATTTTGGATTTGGTTCAATAAACGGTTTGGAAAAGCTCCTCATTAACTTTAATTTCGACTCGCATTACATATTTATTTGCGCCAAGTGAATGGGTTTACAGTTAAATACCACAATACATGTATTATGCATGGCACAGTAACACTGGTTAGTGTTATACCATTCAATGGGATCATATGACATCGTTTATCTGGAACCAGTCTGTTGCATTCAACAGGTGTAATACAATCCAGTCGAATTAAATATACCAACGTCCTGACTGCGGTGTCGTCTAACTTGCAGAAGGATTGCAAGAAATGTTGGACTGCTCCCATTGTACTCCTTCCTTTGAGAATTTGCATTTTTTGTTGTTTGCAAGCAAAATTTGAGCTTCTATCGAGACATTCAGCATGCTGCTGCCCTAAGTTAAACTAGTTCTTGTATCATTCTTGGCACTTGATCAAGTTGATGATATTGATAAAATTGTTGAAAAGTTTTGTAATTTAACAGATATTGTAATATGAATACAGAAATTTGTTTTCATATTGATAATGAATATTTGTAAAGAACACAAAAGTCATCATTTTGTGCCAACCACTTATTTTTTTTTCATTTGGATCAAGTTGAACATCCATTATTCTTGATATCTTAGAATGGTGTTTTTACAGTGTTAGCAGTTAATCACAGCAACAGTATTTGTCGTAATTGAACAAAAATAAATATGCACAATAGACGGTAAGACCTATGGCGCCGAAAGTGTATTTTATCATTTCTGCTCATACGGCGTAGTGGACTGGAACGCGCTAACGGAAATGTTGCAGGGTGCCATTGGAAAGGTTCGAGTTGGTTGCGGACGACAACTCGGCACCGCTTTGTTCAAAGTCCGGGTGGATGGTAGTTAGCTACGATTCACTGCTCGAAAGAAACACACATTTTCAGTGATGGACGAAGAACAGAATTATTTATCACCACTGGTTATTAGTCGGGGAAAAACCAAGCCAAGGATAATGAGCAAGTTAATTACGTTATGGTAATTTCATACGCCTGCCAACTATTACAGTATTACGTGGAACAAACGAGGAATCGCGTATGCTGGTACACATGTAATTAGAAATGTCAAGGGTACCAGCCTAATGTATTTGGCTGCTAACGACTGATGTGGAGGTAATGTGCTTGTAAAATATAAAGTACAGCAGAAAGAAGCATTTCGTCATATTAAATCAACTTTGCTTTTTCATTTGTTATTAAGTTTACTCGTCTGATTGGTGTTGCTATTGTTACCAGGAATTTTTACAAATTGGAAGACATTTTTGAGAGATATAAATGCTACAAACAATTCTTAAATGGAAGGAAGCGAGATATTTGGGGAGTGCAAAGCCACGTTGTGTTGAGATTTTGTTGTATCAGTCCTTTACAATGATGCTGTGTTGTAAATATGTACGGCTTTCATCCTTCCGTCGCCATGACCGCGAGTACAGCGTGGTCATGGTCAAAACCTTCACAATAAAACCTCTGGCTCCTCGCTGGAATACCCACTGACTACTGTTGCTATTCCATTCTCGGGCTTACCACTGTCTTTCCTTCATGCGGAATAACGCGTAGACAATGAATCATTTTCAACACAAAGGAACGCGCAAGACGGCGCTGGGGATTGCTACTTCCTCTTAAACCATGGAGTCTGGCCTTGAGACGTCATTTCTAGAAACCATGCACTTGAGGTTGGAGTCACTTTATTGACAAGCAGTTTCACATCATGAGAGTGTGTCGGTGTGAAATTAATAACATGGTGCACTGTCAACATACGAGTAGAATGTCTGTCTGCCTGTGTCCACTTGATTAGACTTGTGCTTATTTCAATTTGTGTCTGTTGACATAAATGAAAATGTTCTCAAGTTGACTAGATATGTTATGGCCGTCTAAATAGTACG